GCTCGCCTATTGGGCAACACTTTCCCATTTTGTCTGGGGACCCTGAAACCAGCTGTTCACAAAACCTTAGGCATGAGTGGTGCACAACAAACTACATGGTGTACCGCACATCTCGAACAGCTGACTTTGTTCTTTGTCAAGAATGCACGTCACCTAACTGCTAAGCTTGGTCCTGACGATATGAAGTGAAGCATATATGCTCCAAACTGTGGAGGTTGAATTGATACCAATAGGGATTTTGCATGCCCCCCTAAAAAGACAAGTGAAATTAAAGGGGTTTTCCACATCAAGAGTTTTGAAGTGAAATAGCCAACAAAAAGATTTTTAGTGCTGTTAACAGTCCCACCATTCTTGAGACCCAAGCCTTTCCAGTTTCTGGGCTACGCACCTGAAAAAAAAAATTGGGAAGGATGTCTCGGAAAGAGTATTTTAAGGTCATCTTGACATTCATGGCACCATGCCATTCAGATCTTGCCATTCCATAAGCCATGCAGTGATGAGATAAAGGCTGATAAAAATTAATTGGTGACACATTCATATCATATCTGGCATGTGTCATCATGGTTTCCAGATACAACAACTGTCAATTGGTTCTCAATCAAGGTTGTGCAAGGATGGTGATCTAATTAAGCATGACAAATTAAGAAGCAATTTATTAAATATAATTGTGCTGTCTAGAGCTGTCTTGTCCACTTTAAAAGAACACAGTTAGAAGTGAGCTTTTCTCATCATATGTGATACTTGCTTCAGTACCTTCAAATTTGAAGGAGTCCCTTTAATATTATATGATCTTAGCTGACTCAGTGCATTAATTGAAGTGAGAGGGGTAAAATTACAGAATACACAGGTCCACAGCCCATTAAGAAATGCATGCATGTTTGTCTCGGTAACAAAAGTTTTCATGGTCTTATCAACTGGAGATGGGGAATCAGCAGGCATGTTACTAGGCAGTATGGACCTTATATTTGTGCTAAGCTCTGATAGTGACAAAAACCACATACATACATTCTTTGGTACAGACACATTGAGATTACTTCAAATTGGTGAGACATGCACATTCCATGGTCTCAATCAGTACTCTCACATGTGACCCATTTATAATTGTTAAGATGAACTGATATTGGGTCCGATCTGCCTGCTTAAACCCTGTAATATTTGGGTGTGTCTCTGTTCCCAAGAGTCACTCTCTGGCGAATACAGGGACATTGACTGCTGGGAAATTCCGTGCTGGATGGATGTACCTTGTTCATCCAGCCCCGTCAACCAACCACAACCAACCTTGGCTAAAGTATTTCCAGAGTTCATCAGAATTGTACAGTCACTACCATGTGGCTACCCAAAGTGGAGTCCCTCAGACCGCAGCATTTCACTGTATCCAAGTTCTGAAACCTACGAAGATGATCTTGCCCACAGAGTGTCCAGCCTGCTACAATGCTGACCTCCGCACCTGGTGTTCGTTCCCAGTTATCGGTACTGCAAGAACAAGCCGTACCCCAAGTCTCGGTTCTGCCGCGGTGTGCCCGACCCTAAGATCCGCATCTATGACCTGGGCCGCAAGCGCGCCTCGGTGGAGGACTTCCCCTGCTGCGTGCACATGGTCTCGGACGAGATCGAGCAGCTGAGCGCCGAGGCGCTCGAGGCCGCCCGCATCTGCGCCAACAAGGTGAGCCGAGCCGGCGGCGGCGGCGGGACGGTGTCTTATGTGTGCTGTGAAGGGGAGGGGCGCTGGTTGTCGCCGTTCTGTTGGGCCAATCCTGTGACCTTGGTTGTATCTCCTGGGACTATGTGGGACTCAGAATTGTGGGTCTGCATTCAAAGTTGATGTTAAGCATTTCAGATGCCTTGATGCATTCAGCTAATTTGTTTGGGATTTTCCTCTCAGTTTACATGTATGTTCCAACCTCCCGTTCGGTTGTTAGCCTAGGTAGTGGTTTTTCGGCTCGGGCTGATTAGTTCGATAAATGCACGCTAACAGGCTGACGTGTCCCGCCCTCTGCGACTTTGCCGTGAGTGCCATTTTGAGAAAGGACGGCGGCCATGCTGCTGCCGTCTTGGTTACACATGGCCACAGCAACGCCGGCCGGTCGGCGGGAGCGGCGCCTCTGGCGACGCCACCCGCCGGCGCGGCCCGACACCACCCGACCATCTCGTGCGGGGCATGGCTCGCCCCCGACCTTGGCCCGGCGGCTGCGCCAACCCGGCGAACGCCACAGGGCAGTCGTGTATGTGGGCTAAGGCGGACAGAAATCACTGGGCCTACGGGCTGGTTTCTTTGCGCTTCTTCTTTTGATTCAGTGTAAAGTGACGCCCGTCTGGTTTTTGGCGGTGAGTTCCTGGGCGCGCCTTCTCGCCGCCCGCCAAGCTTCCATCACGCGAGCTGTGGCCTGTGTTTCAGTACTTGGTGAAGAACTGCGCAAGGACGCGTTCCATATTCGCATCCGGACGCATCCGTTCCACGTGAACCGCATCAACAAAATGTTGTCGTGCGCCGGCGCCGATAGGTGAGACGTCCGTGGCGGGGTATGACGTCATACCGTCATAGCAGAGGAGCCGGGCTGAGAGCTCCGAGGAGGACCTTTCCTTTCGTTTAGATCCGTCGCTGAGGAAAAATACCCTTTCGTTCAGTATTTAGTCCCTGATCTTTTTTTGTGTTTACCTAGCTGCATGTGTGAAATGCCGTAACGCGTTACGTTACGTTGCCGTCCGACGTGTCACGGCAGCCACACCGTGGGAGGGAAAGTTTGCCAGTCGACGGGCCTCCCGACTCGACTACCCTGTAATATTTGGGTGTGACTCTGCCTCTAAGGGTCATACTCTGGCGAATACAGGGACAATGACTGCTGGAAAATACCGTGCCGTGCGGACGTGCCGTGTCCGCCCGGCCCCGTCAACCACCCACAGCGACTCGGCCCTGCCGATGGCCTCTCGTTGCTCTTGGTTGCGTCAAAACTCTGACGTCACCGGGTGCTGTGGAGTATTGCATGCTGCCGAACTTATTGGCCGTTGTGCGGCCTGCAGCTCGTGCCGCTGGTAACCGTGCCGCTGCCCGCCACGGCCGAGTGTTCGGGGGTCTGCGTCTCCAGTGTGCCATGCGTGTCGTGTGTCCCGCACCCGTGGGTGTCGCCTGACCCGCCGCCGGCACCGGCGCGTCCGCAGGCTGCAGACGGGAATGCGCGGCGCGTTCGGCAAGCCGCAGGGTCTGGTGGCGCGCGTCAAGATCGGCCAGCCCATCATCTCCATCCGCACCTCGGACAAGCTCGAGTCGCACGTGGTGGAGGCGCTGCGCCGCGCCAAGTTCAAGTTCCCCGGACGCCAGAAGGTGAGGCGGAGGGCCGGCGCTCCGCCGCCGGGCGAGGGCGTGGCTGAACATCCCCTGCCATATTTGGGAGTGGCGCCGTGTCGTGGCGACCGCGCTCAGGCGAACGCAGGGACAGCAATCAGCAGGGCCTATACCGTGCAGGGGGATGTGGCTTCTCCACCCCGCCCCGTCAAGCCTGGACAGACCGCCTCGGGATGAGCTCGAGCGCTGCATTGCCTCTTGTGTACATGGTACCTGCTTCTGGCTTTAGTGTGCGCAGTTCGCAAGGAATGCTGCTGAAGTGCGAGACGGGGGAAGATTTCAGTTCAAAGTGACACTGCTATATGGCCATGTGTAGGATCAAAGGAGGAGCGATTGAAGTGTGCTGGCCAATGGCTGGTGTGATATGGCGTGGTTCTCCTGAGCGTTAGACTAGGTTATGGTATGGTTCATTGAATGTCAGGAGGTTGCTGGCTTCCATTGCGCCTAGAACCAGAGCACCTGCAATCCGTGGTCTCATTATCCAGTGACCTGAAACAGCAGCTCACTGTAAGGTGGAAAGACGTGTTGGTCCTAGTATAATCACACATTGAGTATTGGTTTGAGCTTGCCCTGTTAGGCTGCTTGTCACGCTGGTTGACACTACCGGTCGTCAAAAGCATGAATTCATACCAGGTTCTCCACGCCGGGTTCGCTCAGCCAGTGACCCCGCTCCTTCCGCCCGGCAGATCTTCATCTCGCGCAAGTGGGGCTTCACCAAGTTCGACCGGGAGCGTTACGAGGAGCTGCGCTCGCAGCACCGCCTGCGCAACGACGGCGTGGGCGTGCAGTACGTGCGCGAGCACGGCCGGCTGAAGGACTGGAAGAAGGTGCGCATGGCGCTGGAGCAGGCCGACTAGGTCCGGCGCCGCCCGGCTGCTCTGGTCAATACACGAGACGTGCACGAGGATGGACTGTTGTTGGCGAGAGGGAGCGGGAGCGAGAGGAGGTTCGCGGAGGGGTTGGCTTGTGGCCGCGGTGACAACGGCGTTACAGCCAAAAACGTGGCAGGGAGGGGGGGGGGGGGGGGCAGCGGACCCGGGTGTATGTGCGATGGGAGCCAGTTTCCAGAAGAAATGAGAGCACAGGTGATGACAAGTAGTGAACGGCGGAATCGTTCAGTCGCTCTATTTAGTTTCATCACGGCTGCGCGCGCCGCTCCCCACGAAAAGTGTGCTGGCACCGGCTACGGCATGGTAAGCTTAGGTGATCATAACACCGCGGCATACGTCGCGAGATGTGATCTTTTGTTGTATTCGAGCCAAAACGCGGATTACCTGTACGATTCTGGGTGCGGTAGTTGCGGGCCGTGCTGTGCGTACTGCCAGTTTGTTTAGGCATGGCTTGTAATTGCATTATTTTCAATCGCTGCAACGCTGCATGTGAAGCCAGTCGAGTCCCGCGAGCATCGCCGGGTCTAGTCGGAAGTCTGTCACCGGAGGCCCGTGCTCCTGTCCTGCCAAGTAGGGTATGACTGGCAAATTGCCTCACCGGCCCGCCTCAGGCGACGTGCAGGGCACGGATCAGGGTGTTCATATCAGCCTCCCGGCCGGTTCGCACACGGCTGCCATGAAGGTCCACTCGGCGCGGTCCTCGTGTCGGCGCATTCCCCGCTAGGGTGCGACACTCCAGGCCAGTTGAACCTCTGGTGGGACGCGTAGCTGATGACGTTGCTGGATGCCATCTGGACGGTTTTTAGCGAGCCCTCTAGTGCATTTCAGTTCTTGCCTTTTTAACGATGCCCGCGCCACATTGTTACAAAGTACGAAAGCCGAGACTAACGTGCGGGGTAGACCGCGATAAAAAGCAACACAAAACCTTACGTCATTACGTCACGACGGCTGACTGCTGCACACACAGACTAGCATAAACAACACACATTCGACAGCATGCTGGCTACGGCGCAGTGCCCAGCCAAGCTGCTCCATGAGTCGCGGAGAACATTTGTACTGGTCCTCTGCATCCGACCGGCGGCAGCGTCGTGGGAAAGCGGAGGTACACTAGCGCTACCTTTCGGCAGCATGAGTAAGCTGAGTTACGTTTCGTCTAGGCATCCCCGTCCGGATCCCCCGTCCGTTCGCTGAGCGGCCGCAGGTCCGGACACAACGCCGGCTCGGCTGACTGAGGCCTGCGCCCAATCGTACCCGATTTGACGCATCGACATCCCAGTCCTACCCATGCGCTCGGGTTATTCGGCAGTAAGTTGTAAGCGAATAGCATGCCAATTTGCTATTGGCGGGTGGCGTGAGAGCCGGCCGGTGCGGGGCGGGATAGTGTCAAGCCGCAGCTGCGGCCCGGTATCACCCGACCCGCATGCCAGCGGTCCAGACCACCCTCACTGACGCTCCCGTCCACTCGCGTGCCGTTTTGTCAGCGCTCTTAGTGTCAGTCTGTTGCTCCGGTCCTACGCCGCGCTAACATTTCATCCATCTAATTAACAGCTACTACAACAGAGTCGCAGCCATCGCCGAACAGCATCCCAGCGCCTGTTCATGGAAGCGTCCTTTGCAAGTCCGCAAGCCTTGCAAAGGACGCGTCTGCAAAGCGTGAAGCGTTGCAAAGGGCTGTAATTCAGCTGTCTCATGTACCTGTTTTTATCTAATTATTTTGTCTGTGCCAGCGATTCATCTCCCCAGCTGTTTCAGAAACCATCAGCTGCAAACGTTACCGCTGAACGTCAGCTGTCTCAATTCATCGGTACAGTAAGACATCGATAGCTAAAATCACATATATTTTTCACATACCCGACATACCACAGGTTACGCTCTTCATCCAAGATGCGTAAACCATTCCGCACCTGAAAGAGAATTACTCGTTAATGCGATGGAAGTTTATTTTGTGAGGATACACAAGCCAGGTTTACGACGCATAATTGCAGTAAAACTGCGAAGTCAATTTCGAGTGGAAGCCACGAACAAACCTGAATGCGCGCATCGCAATACAAACTAATAGTGACCGGAATTCGACCCTTCTGAAGCCACGTAACACGCAATATAAGCAATGGCACGGCACGACGACAGGTTAACATGACAATCCAACATCTGGAGTGTTACTTGCCGGCTTCTCTGATGGTCATGCCTGAGGGGAAAGCTGCTGCAAGTAACCAGAGGCAATGGACGCAATCTCTAAAATGTGCGCGATGTTTGACCTGACCAACAGATCAAGGTCAATTGGCAACGTGCCAAAACAGCAAGCATAGCTGACCGTGTCGTAGCATGGCGCAGCAAAAAAGACCCCTCCGCGGCCTTGTGGCCACGCTCCTGAGTCAGGTAACGCTGTCGGGTGGGAAGTGCCCCCCCCCCCCCCCCACTACACACCGAATTGGTAAAACGGCTGAAGATGTTACAGAAGTCAGCATCAGGCAGCCGCTGGCTCGACGTCAATTTATTTAACATTTTCCTTAACTAACTGTATTCTTGCTGGATCAGCATGAAAAGAGCTAAAGAGCTCCTTGACTTGAAAATGTCATTGTATTCAGTTGAACGTATCGGAACAGCCAAACAGCCCGTCCTACGGAGCTTACGTTGCGCTAAATTGCTGCTGCTCCCTACATTTTCATATGGTGAAAACTTACAATGTCGGCACCTCGAACGTTTCCAAATAGTCGGCGTCGAACGTATTACTTCTCGGGTATGTACAAAGTCTGATGTCATATATCACATGCAGTATCTCGATCTCCTCGCTTCGCTGCCATGACCGCGTGTGCCTCCCTGAACTTTAATAACACCCCCTAAACTTTTAAAAATACTTGGACGTAATCTTGATTCCAACTCGCAAATATTGCCGAAATTATAAACGCAGACTTTGCTCTACGTCCATTTTAAGTTCACCGAAGCTGGAGCTCACTTATTGACGCCATTCGCGATGTCTGTGGTTAATCTTCACTTCTCTTTGAACTTCTTGTTGTAGATCGGTATGAACTGGCAGACTGCCTTCCAGTCAGTGATGTAGAGAAGCGCCAGGCCTCCAACGCCTCCCAAAGCCGAGCATTGTCGGTACCCTGCAAACAAATAGTGGATTACTGAAACATTTTACAGGCCAGGGATGAGACTTATCCAATAAACATCTTCCTAAATGCTCACTGTTCCTGAAAAAAAACAGCGGATTACTGGAACACTTTACAGGCCAGGGATGAGACTTATCCAATCAACATCTTCCTAAATGCTCACTGTTGACAACAATCAATTACATACGTGTACTCCACCAGGAACAGATGCATCACAACCATTAAGAAATGTTACCACCATTTCACTGTGTTGCCTCACTTTTTCATCTTTCAGAAACATAAACAATGGTAAAGTCTGACTGTACCTAACCTTACAAAACTTAAGGTACAATATGCTAAAAGTGTACCAGACACAAAAACAATCTAATTGTACGAAAAACCCAGTCAAGCAGGTAGGTAGAAATTTATCCACGGAAAGGGGGGATGGGGCAGACGCCATTATGTTCCAAACCGCTGTGAATTTGGAATGAACTCTTGTGAAATCGCCCGACATATATTGTAGACTTCGGGGGAGGGGCATGGCCCCGTGCCCCTTACCTACGTTCCTGAGCAATCTAATGTATGGTAAACACACATTGTACACATAGATATAGGTAATATATCACAGCTTACAGATACTGTATCAAAATGGCGTACAAATATCAGGTTACTGTCGTCCCGTCACTGTACTACGGGCAGCAAGCGCGCCCCTCTCGCTGGGGGGGGGGGGGGGGGGGGAGCTGGGTGGGGTAAAGCTTCTGCAGCCCGCTTCGGACCGGCTGTGAACGCGCCCGTATGCGCCACGCGGCCGGTCTGGGCCGCCAGCGCGACAGCCGCCAGTGTCAGCCCGACGACGGAGGCGACGTGGCCGCCTGGTGACGATTGCCGACCCCGAGCCACGCCAGCTGGGACGGGCCCAGGCTGGTGCCCAGGGACGGCGTCTGGCGAGCTCTGTGCGGTGGCAGCCGTTACGATGCACTCCTTGACAAAATGCCTGCTGAAGGCTCGCTGTGTGTGGAAGTGTTGTAGGTTTCTGAGCTGTGATTTCCAGGGTGTGGGGTGGCTGTCTGCTGCCCTGTATATGTCTGACTCATGGCTCAGAATGACTCCTGGCTGACAAGCATCCAGCTACTTGAACATGACACTGAAGCAGCTGCTGAAATAAACTAGACTGATACCTGTATACTCAATGCATTATTTCCACCTTCGGTCGACAAGAAAATGGCCAAAAACTGCAGTACAGCTCAGGTGATGCTATTTTCTACAACAAGGACATGGATCTTTCTCACAGTTGCACACTCTTAATAGCATTGTAAATATACATAATATATCAACCTAAATAAAAAACCTAAGCTTTTTTTAAAAAAGCCTGATCAGCCTAGAAAAGGGTAGAAGTCAGCTCACCAGTTTTTCAGCTGGGCGATCTGGCGAGCACCAAATGGCTATCATTCTTGCCAAGCCTGCTTATCTTGCTGGTACAATAAGCTTTACAGCTCCAGTGACTCTGAAAATTAAAAATATCAAGGAATTGCTGACTTAACACTTTGGGGTATGATGTACCATACACATCTAACTGCATCAGCCTATAAACATATCAAGTCATAAAGATCACAGCTGTTTTTTGGTACTACTATAGGGTCATGACAGATGTCTACACCACCTAACTTTGTGGAAATTTTGTATATGCTATGATATGGTAATACAACTGCCCAAACAGCTAGTTTGTTGAAACTTCCTTCACCAGTTGCAGGGACAATGGTTAATGAACATGAAAGCTGCTTGTCATGGATGGGATGCATGGTCATTTGCTTTTTGCCCAATTTTCTGTAAAGAAGCCTGATGTTCTAAAAGGCCAGTTGTTCTGTTCTGGTATCAAAGTCCATTAAAGCCCATGAAAGGCTGGAATGAAATTAACCCTGACTCAACTATACGCTGAATCAAATAATGTATTCCTGGCTTGTCACTATCTTTTGCCAGTTTTATTCGCTATAACAGGTTTTAAACATGAATGCATTGACCTTAAAAAGTAACTAGATGAACATGCTTGATGTTTGCCTCCCAAGCAAGTCAAAATATTGGTGCTTAGGTTAACCACGATTATTTGGGATCAAATTTGCTTAATCATATTCACTCTCATTTTCAGAGGAGCATTTCGGAGCGAACATAATGTACTTATCAATCCTGCTCATCCCTTGCCTTAGGATTTTCGTTCACAAGGACGTTAAAAACCTTACCCTGAATGCAAAACTCTATTGTGAACCACCGCTACACAGCGTCTAATTGTGTAAGACCAAATAGTCTTTGACACTTAAAAGTTTTCCAGGAACCCCCCCACAGTACACTCCAACCAGCCCAGGACTGAAAAGACCTGCCCCGAAGCCGAAGCTTGCCTTGGCTTGGATTGGAGCACGTAGCCAAAGCCAAAGCCTCAAGTGCGCGGATGTCTGAAACAAATGCGTCACAATGCTCTACAAAATCACTACTTTTCATAAAATGCTGACGTTAAGAACACTAGGCTCATTGGTAGGCAAAGGAGAGCGTAAAACTGAAAGGATAGCGTCATCAGTAGCGTAGGCAGGAGGCACAGAGGAAGAGTATCCCGGCCCCTAGATCCCGAGGGGCCTGGGCGGCCCCTCGAAATCTACGATTAAGGTCCCGAAAGGCCAGCCGGAGGTCTCATTCGGGAGCGCGGCGCCCAGGGCCGCAGCTCATGAATGACGAGCAGGGACAAAGCCGGGGCCAGCGATTTACACTGCTCGAGGTCCCAAAGCACGAACAGGTGTTGTCAAGAGGCCCAAGTCGGCCAGAGGCAGTGTTCGAGGAGGCCCGCAGAGACTAGAGGGTCCACCAGGTCCGACGAACAAGGGTCCGTTTGGAGGGTCTAAAGGCATAGGCGGCTGGTCAGGTTCCTATTCAGAGGCCCCGAACTGCGAAGACAGACCCGCAGATAACAGACAGAGGGCCCTTTACACCGATTGGGGACCCCTGAGCCGATATGGGCCTATATGTCGGTCACGTACCTCCGTACCACAAAGTCGCCTCCGTGTTGGTATGGACCTGAGAACCCATCCCTCTTAATCAGCTATAACGCCTAGGGCCAGTAATTTACACTGGTCTGGGGCCCTTTTATCTGCCAGGGGCCCACAGCGCATAACAGAGGGCCCTGTGCTTGTAAGGGCCTCGAGCCGACCAAGGGAAGCTTTCGATGAGACCCGAACGGGGCCCCGGGCGGCCCACCGAAACCGACGATCAAGGGCCCGATTGGAAGGCATAAGGGCCCGAAGGACTGGCTGAAGGTCACAAAAATAATCGCGGACCGTAGGGTGGTGACCTGACATATCAGTCAGAGGTCCTTTTGCACCGCTTGAGGAACCCCTGAGACAACGCCGAGGTTAAATCGGTCCGAGACCACGATCGCCGAACAGTCGGCTCCATGTCCGTCTAAACCTTTGAGACCAATTTCCCAAGCAGAAACGAGACCGGGGTCCGCGATTTTCAATGTTCGGGGTCCCTGGCACAATGAGGGGCTCCTGTGTCGGTTGGAAGTCAATGTGCCGAGGGGCACTATGGCGCCAAGTGACCCCGAGTCGGAGCGGTGTTTGAGGGCGGCCGAGGAGGGGCTGAAGGGTTTCTCGAGACCAAAGAACATGGGACCAATAAGATGGCTGAAGGGTCTGGAGGGCCAGTTGGAGGTCACGCTAAGGTTTCCCGCATTAAGGTCGTGATCTCAAATGTCAGTAACATGATCTCTTGTACCGATAAGGACCCTCGGACAGAGCATTCCTTTATTTCGGCCAAAGGTCACAAACACCGAACAGTCGGCCCCATGTTGGTCTGAGCTCTTGGGCCCCATTTCCCAAACAGGGACATGGCCGATCCGTCACCATTTTCATTCATCTGTTGGCCACGGCGGGGTGCTGGCCGCGGGGCCGATGCCGCGCGACCTAAGGAGACTGCAACGTCTGGCGTCGACTTTTTTGTTACGAAGACAGGCGAGCAGTCATGCTCGAGACCACGTTACATAATTTGTACCACTTATCGATTCTGGCTGAATGTTGAACATATCCAGACAAACATGGCTTCGCCATGTTAATAAAAATTGTTGGCCCATTTTGATCTTCAATCTACATTCGCGGAATCCTTGCTGTCTCTGTACAGCCCACATACAAGCTCTAGCAGTTCCCGAGACCTATCGGCCTAAGAGTAGTTCACCGACCCATTATGAAATAAAGAGCGCCGGTCGTTTATTTCATGAAGTCATTTAACACATGATTTTGTCCATTTCTTTACTGCAAACTAAAGGTAGAATTGATATCGCGATAGCGTCTGGCCTATATTCCAATTACAGAAGGTAAAATGTGATATATATATATATATATATATATATATATAGATATATATATATATATATACATGCATATACATATATGCATAATATCTAAGGAAAGCCTATCCTCAATAACAAATGGGCCATGTCTGACGATTTCTTTTTGGGGGGCCCTTTGTCAGTCGTTGTCAAGGCTCTGGCTGTGCCTCTGAGCGTCATGAACACGCGTGAGAGCAGCCACAAAGGGTTTTATTGAAATCAACAAGACCATATACACCCATGCTTGCTCTGAGAGATCTAAGGTGTTAGATGCAGTAGTCCAAATATACATATTATGTTTCAGGGGTGCAGCCAGGATTTTTTGGCCGGGGGGGATAGCTCGAAGGAAAACATCGTGCCGGTTTCATCTTTCTGCCAAGAGCTATCGGAAGCATGTCAGGAGCCCTGGTGAAAAAATCCGCCCTAGGGGTAGGGGTACGACCACCTGGCTGCATCCAGTCGTGTTGAATCATATCTTTGGATTTGGACGAACACTGTAGCTCGCCAAATGAAATTCGCGTGCGATATAACACATTTAGTCGAGTGTTCCGAGCTGCAAAAATGTTTGAACTACCTTGAGTACCCAATGGTATGAGTTGGTCTACATGGGTTGCAAGCCCAGTGAGACCTAGAGTGAGCTGCACTCCAATGCAGTCTTGAAAAAACGCCAAAACATCGGTAGATTGGGGAAAGTGGGGTATGACGGACACCCTACCACTTTGAACGATATGTCTTAATCATCATGGATGCTAGTCACTGAATATTGTATTGACATGAATAACCGATATTTATAAACGCTCATGCAAAGGAACATTGGATGATATCCTACCTGCGCAATATGAAAGGAGTTTCCCCGATTGCTTGGAAAAAGTGCCTTGCCCCCCGGGTGGGGTAAGATAGTTTTTCCAGGGGGGAAAGACGACCATTCAGGGGGCACAATGGGCAGCCACTGCACTCACTCGTGGATCCACGGCGGAGAGGAAACAGAACCATAATCTCCTCGAAATAGCCGAGATCGGACAAAACTGGCACAGTTCCGGACTTTGAGAGACATTTAGAAAGCTTTTCAGGAAAAAGTTTGTTTTGAACCAATCCATGGAATAAGAGTGAGACAAAGCCGAGGGGTTAAAGAAATTCGGGGGGGGGGAAGGTTTGACCTCAAGCCAGCGTTTTGGATTCTACTTTGACTTGATCTGTAACAGACATAAAGTAGGACATTGCCCCAGAAAAGCCAACAATTGTTTTCTCAGAATTTTCAAGGTCCCTGCAACACAGATCACATGTGAAGCACAGCTTGTGCCAATTCAACTTATATAGCCCTAGTAGTCAACATCATGAAGTTTCGGTTTGCACGATGGGAGCTCGAATGAAACACCTGAGCGGAAGAAACATCTGGAAGCTGTTGAAGCAAAAGTAAATTAAAACCGACTCAAGAACTCACCAATGTTCCAAGCCTACCAAATATCAGGTGTTTCAAGATGTTTGGTTCCATGTTTCGCTTGTGTAGTACAGATCACGCTATTCCAGACCAGCACATTCATCACGTGCTCAGTTCTTACATCCATCACAACACGTCCATCCTTCACCCGATTCTGACGCACCAAGCGAATCGTTACATTGCAGGCTCCTTGCATGCACTTCTTTTCCATCTTCTTTACTTTCATCTTCATCATCTTGCTGTCTTGGTTACCTCTTCTTCCGTTTCATTTCCCCATCCCTATGGACGTTTCTGCACCCTGTCGTCTTCTGCTGGCTGCTTCTGTCATTTTTTCTTGCTGCAGGTCTTCCTTTTTTGTTGTTGCTGTTTTTGTTCTAGACTTCCTCCTTTTCTGCATGCTCTACTGCGACTGCTTCTTGTACGGTGAACTCGTTAGGGATGGAATGACCGTTCGTACTCGCTTACGACATGTGCGTGGCTTCTTTTGCTGACGTGGCTTAGGCACGGACAGTATATCAGTAGGCCTGAACGTCATCGGTGGCACTGCAGCAGCTGGGCGAGGCGGCAGAGTAGGTACAGCAGTCGCCCAAGCGGCGACCATTGACGAGGACGGCTCAATCGTCCCAGCCGTGGACGCCTCCGCTGTTGTTGACTTCTTCACTGCCGAGGCCATCTCAGCGTCCCATGATGCTTCTGGTACCCCTATAGCTGTGGAGGTCTTAGCATTCCTAGACGTGGACGCATCAGCAGCCACAGACGAGGGTGTTTCCAAAGCCGTGAGCGCCTTGCCTGCCAGGACGCCTCAGGTGCTACTGAGGCTTCCGCAGACGAGGACGCCTCAGTTTTGCTGTCGGTGCCAACGTCATCCAGGTCGCGGTTGGTCGCCTCTTCAGGCCCGTGGCCAGACTCGTCAAATACGTCTCGATCCAACGGAAGAGTCCCGCTTTTTTGAAGCCGTTGCTGGCTGTGGTAGGCGTGGCCGCCTTCAAAGTACGCCTCGCCGAAGGGTATAGTCACTTGAAACATGACAGCAGCTCGCCCAGGGTTCTGATTGAGAAATTTATCCATAGCCTGTGCATAAAAGATGCTAAGAGGCCACATGAGCGCGACGTTAAGCGTTTGCGGACGGTGACTGGTGTGAAGTGACATGACGATGATGGCCACATGGTGGTCTCGCGCGAGGTTTATCACTCCGTAGTTCATGGTGTGGCTCAGATGGCCATCCATGACGAGCAGAACTGGATCATCTGCAGAAGGCTTGAGATGCTGAAGAAAATGGTCTAACCATGTCTTAAATATGGCGCTTTGCGTCCATCTGGAGGGACAGCACTCGCGGACTGTGCCAGGTAGTGCGCCGTCTCCAAAATTTTTGTCCTCACGAGGTCGTGGGAAAATCATCATTGGTGGGACAAAGTTGCCACCTGCGGACATGCACACCACCGCCTCGGTAAGTTATCCCCGCTCTGCCGAGGTTACACTCCCAATCGGCGTTTTCCCTCTTCGGGCCAGGACCTCGCTCGGTTTTGCCTGCACTGTTGTTATGCCAGTTACATCAACATTCAGTATTCCGTGCG